GTTACTTCACCAACTGGGGCCAGTACAGGCCCGGCCTGGGAAAATATAAGCCTGACAACATCGACCCATGCCTGTGTGACCATCTGATCTACGCCTTCGCTGGGATGAACAACAATGAGATCACGACTTACGAATGGAACGATGTGACCCTTTACAAATCCTTCAACGGCCTGAAGAACCAGTACGTACCAAAAGCAAAGGGCATCACTTGTTCTGCCTCTCAGGTCCTGCCCAGCACAATGTCAGCACAGTCCATGGTTGAGGGATGCCAAGGAGAAGAGGCAGATTGTGATGGGGAGGGCAGGGCAGGCTGTCAGCACCAGTCCTTTGGGGATGGTGACAGTGACTCAGTGTGATGTTGAGTTGCTCTTTGGGATTCACACCAGAAGATCATGGCTTACAAAGACAGCTAGTCCAGACACTTGCAGTAAAATATGTTCCTGTCCCTCACTTCGCAGGAATGGAAATCTGAAGACCCTCTTGGCAATTGGAGGATGGAATTTCGGGACAGCCAAGTAAGTTCAAACCATCTCCTTCCCATAACAGCACCCTAGAAAGGGAGGGTGAAGGCAGAAGAGGCAGTAACCAAATCCCACTCTGTCTGCTCTGCTTCTCTAGGTTCACCGCAATGGTTTCCACTCCTGAGAACCGCCAGACCTTCATCAATTCTGTCATCAAATTCCTGCGCCAGTATGAGTTTGATGGGCTGGACATTGACTGGGAATACCCTGGGTCCAGGGGCAGCACACCCCAGGACAAGGCTCTCTTTACCGTCCTGGTTAAGGTGGGTTGAAACAAATGGATTCAAGCTCTTTGCTCTGCTCTGCACGGCACTGGCTGCAAAGCCTGAACCCATAAAGTCCATGGTGAGAGCTGTTTCTTGGTGTCCCTCAGGAAATGCTGGCAGCCTTTGAGCAGGAAGCCAAACAAGTCAACAAGCCCCGTCTCATGGTCACCGCTGCTGTCGCTGCAGGACTTTCCAACATTCAGTCTGGTTACCAGATTGCTGAGCTTGGACAGTGAGTAGCAAAAAATATTGTTTCTGTGACTTAAGTGGTCTTCCTTCAAGGAAGGTTAAGGGAAAATGTGCCATTACCTGGCAGAAACCAACCTCATTGCATGTGGGGTCCCTACTCCTTTGTGTAAGGCAAAAACGCTGGGAGAGTGGTGCTTCTCTGGTGGGAAAGGGTGCACCTAAGAAAGTGAAGTGCAACAACAAGCCACTCAGTGCCGTTGAGGAACATCTCTCAGTTCCCAGAACACCAGCACAATTCTCACTCTAGCTCCACCTGTGCCTCCTTCCCCTGGAGAAGGCAATTGGCTCCAGAACTTACAGGGCCGGCTGAAAAGAAATCTTGATGAACTAAGATTTGCAGAAAGTGAGGACATGGCCAGGTCTGGGTGACTGATCAGGCCAGGAGAGAGACACGCACAATACTCTCCACAGGTACTTGGACTACTTCCATGTGATGACTTATGACTTCCACGGCTCCTGGGATGGACGCACTGGGGAGAACAGCCCTCTGTACAAAGGCCCAGCTGACACTGGTGACCTCGTCTACTTCAATGTGGTAAGTATATTTTCCAAGACTGTCACAGAGGATTATCATGACTCCACTGATGAGAAGTTTAAGGAGTCATCCTCCTGCCTCCAGATTCTGGCAAAGACTTTAACTGTGGTATTTCTTTTTTTTTTTTACAGGATTATGCTATGAATTATTGGAAGAGCAACGGTGCCCCAGCTGAGAAGCTCCTTGTTGGATTCCCCACCTATGGACATAGCTTCAACCTCCAAAACCCATCCGACACTGCTGTTGGGGCTCCAACATCAGGACCTGGGCCAGCTGGACCTTACACAAGGCAGTCTGGATTCTTGGCTTACTATGAAGTATGTGTGCTCCTACACACCCAGGCCACTGAGAACACCAGAAACACCCTTCAAACTACCCAGCAAAGAATTTTTAACTCATGCACCAATGGAATATTCTAACTGTCCTTTTTTGTAGGACACTTGCTAACCTCTCCCTCTTTCCCCCTTTTTTCCAGATCTGCACATTCCTGGACTCTGGAGCCACCCAGGCTTGGGATGCCCCCCAGGATGTCCCCTATGCTTACAAAGGCAACGAATGGGTTGGCTATGACAACATCAAGAGCTTCAACATCAAGGTATGGTGGGGTGTGTGGCTGTGCTAATAATAAGGCAGAAGGCCTTGTGCAGGTACTGGGACTAATTGGGATTCCTCCCCTGGCACTGAACAGGTTGACTGGCTGAAGAAGAACAACTTTGGAGGTGCTATGGTTTGGTCTCTTGACATGGATGACTTCACTGGTACTTTCTGCAAGCAGGGCAAATATCCCCTGATCAACACTCTGAAGAACGGTCTTGGTGTGAAAAACGACAGTGAGTAGCTTGAGTTGCACGTGCTTCCATTATCTCTGGAGCCTTGGTGGATAAAGACTTTCTTTGGAAACCACAAGCAGAGATTGGCCTGGAAAAATCCCTTCACTCTACATCTCCC